TTTACATCCAGTCCGGAACGGGTTCGACAATCAGTGCGTTGTGCACAACAGCAGATTGACACAGAACGACTTGGTTTGCCCCCACAAACAAACGGAGCCAGTTACGGGCTGACACGAACCGTTGTGGTACAGAACCACACAGCCGACGTGATGCTCATTCGGTGGATCCCATTCAGACCAATTCCGCAAGTGATTCGAAGGCGGCCAGTTGGAACGCATGGGGTGGATCATCCTTTGCCGGTAGATTCCCATCAAGTCAAACAAGTGCACTGTGCATTTCTGATCGAACCGATGGAATGTGAACTGGCTGCCGGGAAGTCATCCACATTTGTGATCAGTTTTGTTCCGGTAAACTAACTTAGGTATCACATGTGTATATTCAAGGCTGTAGCGTAAACGACACTTATGTATGGAGGGAAAACAGCAATCGAATGTTGGAACCCAGAGGGGTACAATGGAAGAATTGATGGATTCAGTATGGCGTGAAATCCATTATTTGACACTTCGTTATTCAGCTTGAGTATTGGTCTACAACCTATAAACCAAGGGAAAAATATTGTAATGAACCCGAATGGAGAGTTCAATAGTTCAATTGTAGAACAAAAATAACGACCACCTAGGGTCGCTCAACATTTCTGAACCCCATACTTGTTTTTAGTCTAACAGTGAATATTATGTAGAAACTCTGTCAGAACCACCACTTTACGAAAGCTTTTTCTGGTTTGGTCTACCTGACTTGATCTGATCTAATTAGACCTGACCAGATCAATAAGAATTCGTGTCAAACAGAAAACGATGAAACTTTAAAATAACAGTTGAAATTGAACTGAGTGAATGTGTCTGACAGAGCACTGAAAGGAAAGATTCCGAAGAAAATTCGTCAGTAAAATCGATCAGCATCAGATTATTAGGTGAGGTTCACAAAAATAAATAATGGCGCACAGACGGCCTGAAACAGTTAATCCAAGATCGATGTCTCGTTTTTGATACTGCTTGGGAATACTGAAGAGGAGATCGGTTATTCAATTAGCGACCCGCGCAACGTCCCGGGTAGAAATTCGTGAAGCAAGTGTTACTGACAAAAAGCTTGACAACTTTAACGAGACTACTGAGGTTTTGCGTGAGAGACGCCCGTTGGCTCAGCTGAACAGCATTGTTTATCCTGCAATAGATTAATAGAATGAACCCATTGAAGGAGAGAAAAAAAACTTCGCTTATACTGCGTATTTTGAACGGAATACAAATTGAAATCTTATCTGCCGTAATGAGCCTATATAGAAAAATAAAAGAGAACGCCGGTTTGTACACCACATTCTGGGTCGTATAGCCGGGTCTTTGCACGACTGTACTGCTGCGGTTGAAGGGATCAATAATATCTGATCATAAATTAAAGGCTCTTATGCCAAAAGAGAATACATTCGAGTTACCCACCGAGATAATGTCTTAACAGGATAATGTCAAATTAATAAAGCATTTGCGCTGGTCATACAGTTGAACTTGGTCCAAATGGCTTATTGGTGATTTGGCGTATCTGATGATTCTGATGTTTTGTGTGTTATACAAGATCATGATTGAAAGCATGATGCAAAGAACCGTTACCATCAGAAAATATGGTTTCTTGTACCATGCATGTTATAACTTATAGTTACTATAGTAGAATCGATCAGTTCACTTAAACTGCTAAAATATGGTTCTTACCGTTCCGGAAAGCAAAATATATAGATCACTTGTACAAAACCCCAGTTATGTATATGTACTGTGAGGATCGTGAAAACCAGCTCCAAGGTACCTCTCAATACGATCGATAGAACCCGTAGATATTTCATTCTATCTTTTATCCTAAACAGTGGAAATCAAATCACTTAGCAGCTTATAAGTCTCTATTCAGAAGCCACTAATGTGCATTTTCAACCGATTTTTTTCCATGAAGATTGAGGAGGATTTGGTTTGATCATATAGTGAACTTAATCTTTAACAGAGCAAGTGAAGCGTGAACTGAAAAGTTAGGAAGCACTGAGCAGTTGTTTTGACCTGGTTGGATCTCGTCTGCATTGCGAATCCTAACTGGAGATCAACGCCGGGATCTCACACGCAGAACGCCAGCCTACTACCCACCTGACCACTGTCCAGCTGGTCAGACAGTTTTAAATTTTTATTATACGCGATTTAGCACAACCTATCTTTGCAAGCCTAATGAAGCATCCGAACTTGCTCATCTCTGTGATCGGTACATGGATCCTATTATGTCGACTAAGAACGAAACTAAAGCACCAGTTACTGTAATACCACTGAAACTTTTCGAAGGTTATTCGTCGTGTATATGGCAAACGAAACGTGAACTGAAAAGCTAGGAAGCACTGGACAGCTGTTTCGACCTGTTTGGGTCTCATCAGCAGTGCGAATCCATCGACCCCACTGGGGATCGAACCCGGGACTTCATGGGCAGAACGCAAGCGTGC